CAGATAGACTGACAGATCCATCTATGTGAGAATGTAGAATAATACAACCTGTGTGGACCAAGTCATCACACACGCTCCGTAGGAAACAGGACGATGTGACGGCAGGAATGTAGATAAGGAGGTTATGTGCGAGGACCAATTTATTTTTCTTGGCAGGGTGGGAAGGCCTCCGAGACGCTTTTCACATGTCCACATGACAGCAGAAGTCTCAATAATGAAATCCGCTCAAACTGTATTTAGAGCCGGAGACACTCGGGTCCGATGAGGTGACACGTCGGACGACCTGTGTGCCGTCTGGATAATGATCAACCCCCTCGCTCACATTTCTGCTGCATGGGTCTTTCTATACTGCACGTGTGAAACAACACCTTGAGCTGCATATGCACACTGCAGAGCGGGATGTGGACTGTAAGTAGGTGTTGTTGACTGAAACAAACATGGCGGCTGTCAGGTTTTCAGGCGCGACGCTCCACAGGAAGAAAAACAGTGACTCCTGCTCAAAGATAGCTCCAGTTTTCTTCAAACCTTTCTGCAGAACTTGAGGGGATTTATACGTGCACAACGTTCTGGATTTAATCCTGGTCCTGGTCTACAACATACCTGTCTATCAGCCTGTTTAGTCCTGGTCCTGGTCTACATCATACCTGTCTATGAGTCTGTTTAGTCCTGGTCCTGGTCTACATCATACCTGTCTATGAGTCTGTTTAGTCCTGGTCCTGGTCTACATCATACCTGTCTATGAGTCTGTTTAGTCCTGGTCCTGGTCTACAACATACCTGTCTATGAGTCTGTTTAGTCCTGGTCTGGTCTACAACATACCTGTCTATCAGCCTGTTTAGTCCTGGTCCTGGTCTACAACATACCTGTCTATGAGTCTGTTTAGTCCTGGTCCTGGTCTACAACATACCTGTCTATGAGTCTGTTTAGTCCTGGTCTACATCATACCTGTCTATGAGTCTGTTTAGTCCTGGTCCTGGTCTACAACATACCTGTCTATGAGTCTGTTTAGTCCTGGTCTACATCATACCTGTCTATGAGTCTGTTTAGTCCTGGTCCTGGTCTACAACATACCTGTCTATGAGTCTGTTTAGTCCTGGTCTACATCATACCTGTCTATGAGTCTGTTTAGTCCTGGTCCTGGTCTACATCATACCTGTCTATGAGTCTGTTTAGTCCTGGTCTACAACATACCTGTCTATGAGTCTGTTTAGTCCTGGTCTACATCATACCTGTCTATCAGCCTGTTTAGTCCTGGTCCTGGTCTACAACATACCTGTCTATCAGCCTGTTTAGTCCTGGTCCTGGTCTACAACATACCTGTGTTAAAATCAACCCCTCCTCGGGCGCTGATTTCGCTTCTACTCACTTCCATCTGTCTCTGACAGCTGGTTTGGTAGAAGCGAGTTGTTTTGCACACAAACTTCAACTCGCCGTTGTAATCTGGTCGTTTAACTCGAGGAGAGAAAGATAATGTTCTGCATAAAAAGACGTGATGTTCTGTCCCAGCTAGCAACTGTGCTGACGTTAGCGTAACTTCTGACTGATTCTAACAACGTCATTGAATTTCTAAAGTGTGATGTGCTGTAAGCTTGCGCAGGATTGTCTTAAGTCAGTCTGAGTGAAATCAGAGAGAGGTCTAAGACGATGTGGACGAACTGTCCAGACTTTATTTACACCATGACACCTGAAGGCGTTCTACATGTGTGTTCACACCTGCTGTAATGTGAGGTCATCCTGACGATTAAATCAAAATGACAGAGAGCGAATCGATTTGTAAGAAAATGTTTTGTATGTGCATGTGTGTGTGTGTGTGTGTGTGTGTGTGTGTGTGTGTGTGTGTGTGTGTGTGTGAGAGTGCTGTTTGTTTTGTGTCTTTTCCCTCCAGTTTGTCCTCTAACGTGTCGATCTGTTGTGTGTCTGTGTGACATAGTGTGTGTTTGTGTGTGGAGCCGCTGGGTGACATTTTCCATTCCAGGTGTGACAGCTTCTCCTCCTACTCCTCCTCCGACACACACCAAACAACTCCTCTCTGATTTTACCTGCCTCCCACACACACACACACACACACACACACACACACACACACACACACACACACACACACACACACACACACACACACACACACACACACACCTCGGCGACCACCTCTGTCTCAGCTCTGCCGCTCGACAAGCTAATTTAGCCAATTACACACAGGTGTGATGCTAATTTCCCCGAGCTGGCAGCCAGCTCCTGGAGGAGGTAAAAATAACGAAATTACACCCATCTGTCCCCCTGCAGGCAGGCGGGCTCTCCCACTGGGTGTCTGCTCCTCCACCGCCACAAAACACACACCAGAGACGAACAAACACACACAGGCTTTGATAATGGAGGAGAAGACAATGGGCAGTGTGTACGTGTGTGTGTGTGTGTGTGTGTGTGTGTGTGTGTGTGTGTGTGCGTGCGTGTGTCCAGGAATCCAGGCTGCAGCCACAGTTGCTGTTTCTCCTCTTTGTTTGCAGCTTTCAATAGATTCTCTCAGATACACGGCAATTTCCCGCAAGAAAAGAAACAGCAGACTTCTGCTGCGGAGGGATGATTACGTGAAGCTGTTTTTTCAAAGGCGGCGAGTTGGATGTGTCCGTGTGTGTGTTGGTGTGCAAAGAGAGGAGGAGGAGGAGGATTTCTCAAACACAAAACAAAGCATGGACAGAGGAGACGGAGGCCTTCAGAGAGTGATGGAAGCTCTTCTGCAGCAACAAGCAGCCGTGATTCTCAAAGCAGACTTGAATTCATGCAAGATCCAAAGTTCACGTCTTACACATTATGTGTCTGAGGCAACAGATCATGTAAGCTACACAAAGCAACTATCCAGTGAGGCAGTAGTAGAGCGGCAGCTCCCTCGTTATGTGAGGCAAAGTTATTGTTTTGATCAATGGAGCCTGGTGTGCTCTTTAACTTAAAGTCTACCTGTGCAGGGATCCTTCCTGTGATGTTGTCAGACTCAAGCTGAGTCTGTTTCAGATTCTGCTGGATGCCATCGCTCCAAAGGATGTCACATGACAGCCATCACGGCCTACTTCACTGCCACAGGGCGAAGCGATTCCAAGGCGTTTTGTATCTATCAGTCAGTTTGATCCAAAATTACATTTAAAAATATTGGAATCACGCAATCATGATTTGTTGCAGGGGCCTTTACGAAGCAGTTACCAAGGTGACTTCAGGGTTAACTCTGAGTTATCAGGACTACAAAGGAGTCCTGACATCAGCAGCAGCTCCACACCTAGAAACTGTTTCTTTGAAATGACGAGTCAGATGTCCCGCCCTTTCTTGATTCTGATTGGTTGGTGAGGGAGAAGTGACATCGATGAGCGTGGCACTGTTCTAAAAGTTGAACTGTTTTCAACTGAGAGCACAGCTACAAAGACCAGCTGATGCTGAGGACATTTTGCGCTCAGGGTGCTGAACTACATCCCATATGCTCTTTTGTAAAGCGTCTCGATATAACAGTTGTTATGAATTGGAGCTGTACAAATAATGATTGATTGATTGATTGATTGATTGATTGATCGACTTCCTTTTGGGGAGATCTCCTTTGTCAGGGTCAGTGACGACATATACCCTGAACTCGCTTCTTAGGACAGGCCTCAGACGTGCAGCCTGAAAAAACAAACAGACATCTTGGATTACAATGCATCTTTTGCACAACTTAAAATACTTGTGCACAAGTATTGTGTACGTCCATGCTTCTTAAAGTCTGGCGTTGAGGAGGAAACATATGAAAGGCGTGTAATCGAACTAAAAGTTGACATCAAATGTGTAGATTCTGTGGAGATGTGAGGCCGTCAGGAGATCAGCTCAGGTAAATGGTTATTGAGAGTCACTGACCTGACACTGAATGTGAACACTGTAATTATGCACCAGAGTTCAAATCAACACATGAAAGCAACTCGTGAGCCGTGACAAACAACAACAACAAAAACAACCTGCACTTCTCAGGATTAACTAACTGATGATGTTTTGATCTCTTGTATTGTTATTTGGTTCATGGCAGCATTATGATGTAAGTAGTTATCTGTTAGTTAGCTTTCAGAGGAGCTCAGTAGGCTCAGGGTTTGATCAATATTCACTCTTTCCCATATATAGATTCTATTTTTTCATTTCTTCTATCTGTGATTATTTTATTCACAAGTCCTTGAGTTGATGCTTCAGCTGCTGTGACTTCTGAGAGAGTTTGTGCCTCTGTGATCTCTGGTCTGTTGCTGCCATCTAGTGGCCGTTTGTGGTAACAGCAGCAGTTTGCAGCATCACAAGTCTGGAAGAGCTTCAGGATAAAGATATCAATCAACTTTCTTGCCTGTCAGCCAGTCGTTTTCACAAGTTGCCTTATATATTTAGGGCCCGAGCACGAACCGAGCGAGGACCCTCTTGAAACCCTAATGATTATTAATTTATTAAATATGTTTTATTATTCTAAAAAAATCTAAGCAAAATGTTGTTTAATTTTCTTAGATATCATTTTAAATTAATAAATAAATTGAAGTTTCTTAAATGCAGTATTACTGCTGTGTACCTGAAATGTGTTTTTATTTTATTTTTTGTTCTTTATATATTATTATATTTATACAAAGTACTGTCAAAAAGATTGCTTTAATTATAATAATGATAATATTTGTATATTTTTATTTGTAATATTTGTTAATTTGTCCTGGTTTTTAGACTTTTAAATGTTTTGTAATTTTCTTTTTTTTGTTTCTTATTATTTGTTTATGAGCCATGTACAGCATTTAACTGAACGTGCTTTATAAATACATTTATTATATTTATTGTATTAAATATGTATTATTATTATTTTTCAATCTCCTACATATTATAATTTTGTATTTTTATTTATTATTATTTTTGATATTATTATAAAATATGTAAACCCTCTTTGGATTAAAAAGGATGTATTCAATGGTTTGAAACGGGCTCCAAACGGTAGGTGGCGCTGAACGTTTCCTTTGAATCATTTCCTGTTTCCGCTTCATTCACCAACGAAGAAGAAGCGGAGTGGCGGAAGAAGTCGTTGCTAGCATCTCAGTCTGTCTAATTTGACCTTTTTCGGGCGTTTAAAATGAACAACCTGAATAAACCTCAGGAGTTTGACTCGTATGAGATCGAGGAGCCGAGCGACGAGGAACGAGCGGAGAGCAGGTGAGAAACGAAGAAACCGTTAGCGTTAACGGAAGTGTAGCTTTAGCACCATGAGGCTAACGCGTTAGCTAGCATGCTAACATGTAAACAAAGTGGAACGAGCTGGAGAAACAAGTTAATTATAAATGTTGTATAATGTGTTTGAATTAAGGAGAGCTATTGTCTATTGGTGCTTATTTAACCGCTAATACTTTTTGTTTTCCTGTGTAAAAACTACTTAATTTAAAAATAAAACATTGAGATAAAATGAATTAATTCAGGACAGATGAATAATTGTTGATTAAATTGATTTTATCAGCATCTATTTATTTAGGCAGCATGATGTGACATCATGAAATGTGTTTTTATAGGTGGAACTAAACACTCAAAGTAGTTTCAAGGTTGAAAAAGTTTTATATTTTATATTTGTTTTCATTCTTATTTCATTTTCAGTTTGAATTCGTCTTTAATGCTGGTTTGTTCGTATTAAATATGGTTAGATCAGTTTAAGTGTTTCAGTGGATCTGAATGTAAACTCGTCCCTCGCTGTGTCTCAGCTCAGAGGACGAGCTTGATGTGCTGCTGAACGGGACTCCGGAGCAGAAGAAGAAGCTGATCAGAGAGTATCTGACGGGGGAGAGCGAGTCCTCCAGCGGGGATGAGTTTGAGAAGGAGATGGAGGCGGAGCTTAGCTCCACCATTAAGACCATTGAGGGAACCTGGGGACCAACATCAGGAGGTAAAGCACACCTAAAACTACTAAATGAAAAGACTTTGTACTGTTACTTAATACACTGGAGATTATGTGGATGATGCTCTGTTGCACTGGAATGCAGGCTCTTATGGTGTGTGGTCGGCGTCTAAACCTCAAGGATACCATGACTTGTTTGAAGTATCTGAAACATTTGCCAGACTGTAAAATGAAGATAAATCCTTCTGTTGTTTGGTTCACCCACTGTGCTCTTGGAGACGGGGCCTCAGAGTTATCCTCATGAATTCAGATTTGTTTTTTTATCCTTCAGCGGAAAACTCAGGAGGCCAGGGAGGCGGCGGCGGTGCAGGTCCTGTAGTCTCTAACCCTCAGATGTATGATGAGGTGTATTTCGACTCTGACTCAGAGGAGGAGGACACAGCAAGTAAGCACCTTTGGCTTGTTAAAGGATGAGGATGAGTTGCTTTATTACAGTACATTTAAAACCTGTCAGTTTTATTCATCCTCTCTCTCTCTCTCTCTCTCTCTCTCTCTCTCTCTTCAGGCAGCTCCACAGGCCGGCGGCGGAGGCAGCGTACCATACAGACCAATGATGAGCTGCTGTATGACCCTGACGAGGACGACAGGGACCAGGCCTGGGTGGACGCCAGGAGGAGAGGGTGAGACACTCAGAAGAAGATATACTCAGATTTACTTAAACTTTCACAGTTGTCTGTTTTCTTTAAAGCTATTTGACTTCTTCTGTAGGTACAACAGGAAACGACCAGCTGCAGGGTCTCAACAACGGGGTCAGGGTTTACCCAGCAGCGACGCCATTCTCAATTGTCCCGCCTGCATGACGACACTCTGCCTGGACTGTCAGAGGTGAGAATTCATAAAAACCTGAGCAGCTGAAGGCCTTTGCTTCAACGGAGAGGGAGGGTTTATGAATGATTGACAGTTTTTATTTTTTCACCTGATTGGGTTTTTTTTTTTGTTTGTTTTCTGTGTGTTGTATTAAGTTTTGAGACGTTTTTATTTATTTGTTATTTTTTTATTTTAAATTTATTTAACCAGGAGAACCTCATCGAGATTCAGAATCTCATTTGCAAGAGTGTCCTGGCCAAGAGCAGCACAACAAAAAGTTACAGACATAAAACAGAGTAATTACAAACACAGTTTAACGTCCTGGTTAATAATTAATGGAATTTACTGATTACCTGGTATCAAAGTGACCGGCTTTGTTAACGGACTATAAAGTCAGATTTTTGGATTAATTTTGCACACCTGCATGGTGGTTTTGTTCACTCAGGCACGACAAGTACCGCACACAGTATCGAGCCATGTTCGTCATGAACTGTAAGGTGAAGAGAGACGAGGTGTTACGTTTTAAAACCCAGCCGGAGAAGAAGCAGAGGAACAGGAAGAGGAGGCGGGGACAGAAAACAGAGACACCACTGGACGGGAGACCGGAGCCAACGCCGGAGGGAATGGACGCTGATGAGGTTTATAACCCAGTTCAGTGCTCCGAGTGCTCCACGGAGGTCGCTGTGTTCGATAAAGACGAGGTCTATCACTTCTTCAACATCCTGGCCAGCCACTGCTGACTCACAAGCAGAGATGTTTTTAGTACCTGGGGGTTTCCCTGATTTTTTCACCTCCCAGCAGCACTCAGATTCTTCCTGACCGAGGGGGAAGAATCCAGCTGTGGTTTCTCCATCGTCCAGGATCGGATCATAAACTCTGAAAGTCGATCACACAGATGGTCACTTAACGTTCCTGGAGAGGAGTCAACGCCCTCTGCAGTGAAAATGTTGCAGCTCCTCGTGTTACAGGACTTCAAACATCAGAGCTTTAGGCTCTTGATTGATATTAACATCTGAACATAAATAAAGCTGGGTGAAGCTTTAAACGTGTTGATACTATTATATAACTTTAAACCAGGACATATACATGTTTCAAAGGGTTTATTATTCAACACTACTAAAGGATAAAACTATTTGACATGAAATATAACATAGAAAATGAATCTCAGGGTCATTTAGAAATGGTCCCTTCGCATACAGTAGTTTGTCCCGCAGGCTGACTAAAAACACCCTAGCATCACAGCTGAGCAGACGCAGGTTCACCAGAGAATAACGGGACGATAAGGCCGTTCATTTTTTTTTCAATCATGATTCATCAAATTCTTAATCACATGTTTGAAATTCCATTATTTTGCATTTAAAAAAAGATTTGTGTGGCTTTTATTTTGAAAGTTTTTACTATCTTTAACTGAGAATACTTAACTCGCTATGTGCTTTCATTTTGAGTTGAATTCTTTCAGTGTAATGCTTTGTTTACAAAACCTCACATCAGTCAGCCTTCAGTTTATCTGACGCTGTAAAGGAATAGTCAGCAGATAGAACAGTCTGTTAACGCAGTCGTCTACAACAGCAACTCTTCTCTCGGCTGTACTTAAAGGTTGACGTGTTTAACAAGGTTATTGTTTCTAAAGACTACTTAAATAACTAGAATATGATCATACCTGCTTACAATCACATTGCAGAGTACGTGTTTGTGTTCAAAAGAAACACTCGTTACTTTTTATGACGGCTTCCATTTATTTTTTTATCAAGATGTGAACAAGTGATATTTTACAGTTTTAAATAAACACGTCATTGAATTTACATGATTATCATTTACTGGCCGTCTTTGTTATTTAACTTAGATATCATTCTCCGTCCATCGGTTATACACAGGTGATGCTCTTCAGACGTGACCTGTGGACAGACAGGCGGTCTCATGTTGTCCCTGGACGACCTACAGTATAACTGTTCGGCAGCAGAATGTAGAATGAATTGAAACATACTACAGTGTGTGCAAACAAGACAGGAAATGAAACTATAAGGTGTATCAGCCGTGAATTTGTGAGAAAAAAGTTTTATAACACAATGAAAGTTTATTTATATTGCATGTTTTAGCAACAAGGCGAGTCAAAGAGCTTCACAAATGACATCAAACCCATCACTACGTATAGAAAACATTAAAGAGACATTAAAATAGAAAATGTATAAATCCCTAAAACAAATGGTTAACAATCACAGGAAAGATTAAATATGTGAATATACAGAGAGAACATTAGATACAAATTAATGTAGAAAGAGACCTATTCGGCAATAAAAGGGTTAATTAATTATTACATTAAAACTGGTGGCTTTCAATGAAACATAAGCGCTTAGTGTGTTCTTTATTTTGAAACCGGATGTAGGAACTCCCTGGTGTGCGTCACAGCCCGAATTCTCGAATGCGGAATCGTGATTGGCTGAAAACGAGCAGCTCATGCCATAGCGTCATCACGTAGGAAGAAGAAAAAACGGCCAGTATTCGGAAATACAACTAAGTAGTCGTCCGTGAAGTTGGAATAATGGCTCTGGGTGACTGTTGGAAGCAGTTGTCGTGGTTTTATTACCAGTATCTACTGGTGACGGCACTGTACATGCTGGAGCCCTGGGAGAGGACGGTGTTCAGTATCCTTTTCCGTGTGAAACAACTTCCGAACCGGGCCGAGCTAATATGCTAATATGCTAACTTTAGCTAGAACGCCGCTAGAGATAACCGAGCTCCCACCGAAATACACACACATTTTACAGATTTTACGTACTAAAGTGTGTTAAATGTGTTAGAAACATCAGTTAATGAGTTGTTTAGACTGTAAATGTCTTCATAGCAAATTCGGCGTGTAAACTATGAGCTTGTCTGTTATTGTTTTTAGTAAAAACTGTTAGGAATCCAAAGTGTCCGCCAGCCGTCAACACGAAGGAAGTTATGACTTTCATAGTTTGAATTAACCTGAATCACTTTACCACACTGATATGTGCGCCGAATTGAAGGATAACCCTGTTGTAGAGTGAAATGTCTTATTTTGTTTTATAATGTTCGTGTTTTTACCGTTAAATTGAAATATATGGTTCACTGCTGTATGACGGGCGCAGCTTCAGGGTTCAATGTTTCGGTACTTGATATTTTTTTCGATTCAAAACAAAGAATCATTTTAATGTCCTTTTAATGCTCTATAGGATCGGCACTTTAACAATTGGAATTAATCCTTAAAAAAATGCATGCAGTCTTCTAGTCATTGTCTAAATTGCACAAAAACAACTTTGGCAACGTTTCTGTACAGATACCGAAAAGTTTCAACTGTTTTGCAATTTAGATAAATGTGCAGGAGTTTGTCTGCAATTTCTGATACCTGAAACAATGAAGTTACCCGATATTGGGTGCCTAGGAATTGTGTTGTTGCCGTGAAATCAAAACCTGAATCAGATGTTGAAAACAGTTTGAACTGGAGAGCTTCTTTACATCGTGTAATGATACAGAAGGGACGGCGCCCTAAGGTGGAGGGCATGAACACAAACTATCGTCAACATGTTTCGGCGCTGTCTAGCCTTCTTCATGACACACGAGGTGAAACAAATTTAAATACAAACGGGTGATTGAATCAGGTGTAAGCATTCGATTCACTCAGCGTCATGTTTCTATGTTTGTTTCAACACGTGTCTGTAACTGCCTGAAGAAGGCTGGACGCCCACACGCGTCTTTTAATCTTGTAGTACCTGCCAATGAGGAGGGCGTTTATTTGACCTTTCTCTTAAAGACGAGTGCCTTGGTTTGTCTTTTCTAATTACGGGTATCCATATTGTTTGATTTTATTCTGGTATCGTGACATCCCTACTTCAGGGAGCTCCTGATCCTCCGCATAGCTGCTCGCACAGCTTACCTCTTATGTGTATTGAATAACTGAAGCTTTGATCACAGTCAGACTTGAACCTGTATGCTCGGGGTGATGTATACAGGATCGGTGTATCTAGTTAATGGTGTTACGGCTGTACTTTGATCTGCAGGTTCACATTATTATGTACATGATGTATCGTCTTCCTACAGCTGGTGTCACACTCTCTGTGTGTTTCTCCTTCCCTCGGGGTCAGGTGTGTTTGTGTGAATAAGTCAGAGGTTGTGCTGTTGTCACTCTGCTTGTTATCAGAGTGCTGGTTCCCATCAAATGTTAATTCCTTCAGGATCAAATGGGGATCTCTGTTGATGAAGGATAAACCTGATTTCCATTTTACTGGAAGACCTCGATCAGGTGACAAATCCTTGACGTAAAACTCTGGCCTCCTCGTAGCTTTGAAGGAACTTCTCAGCAATATTTGAAAGTCCTGCAGATGGACCTTTGTGTTGAAGAAGGATTTTAACCTTAAAACTCAGACGTTATTGGTGACAGGTTACCGGTCGATCTGATGGTGATCAAGGACCGTTTACTCCCAGGTTCATTGAGGTGCAAGGATTGGTTTTGTTTATGGAGTCTGGTGGCTTTGCAGAGGGCGTTGTAAGGTCTGTCTCTTCTTTATTGGCGAGACAGGACATTGGAAAGATTGATTTCGGAGAGAGAGTGGGGAAAGGACCCGGGTTGTCTGCTTCGAAAACTACAGTGTCTGTACATGGGGTGCACCCTGTAAGGTCTGTTTCTAGTTCAAACAGCATCTTCTTCTTAAAAGAATGATCCATCTGTTGGGATCATTTCTGCGATGTTGTCTCACACTTCCGACCCTTGACCCTTTTTTCAGTTGTTACCAATCAGTAGAGAGAGTTTGCATTAGCAGGCCATCTGGAGAAAAGGCACAGCTACCTTGTTTTTTTTTATGAGCGCTACGCCATTTCTGTGCGGCCACTTTGAGTGCTCAAGTTGAAAATGTTTCAACTTTTCAGAAAGGCGCAGCTGACGTCACCGGCGCTCTTTTACAAATGTATGATATTCCCCCTATTTTTCTGTCCTACAGATTGTGTCCCACATTGTCCTCGCTCCGTGTCTGATCGGGAAATCAATTATCTCAAATTAAAAACTTGCGGTAAAAGAAACCGGAGCTGTGTCAGTCACACAACGGCCATTGTCATGGACACAGGACAGACGTGCAGCCCTTTTCTTCTCAGCGCACAAATGCTTCATGCTAGAGTGCACAGCCAGCACTGTCCTGTACAGAAAGATCGCTAGGTCCTTAAAAAGCAGTTAAAAATAACATGTTTGAGCTCATACACATTAATCAGGTGCAATTAATTCTCCTTTAAAATCCCTTTAAAAAGAAAACTAATGCAGTTAGTGGACGTCAATCGATTATATGGCGGCGTGATGTCGGAAACGCCAGAGTAAAAAACGTTTTCTTGATTAGTTTTTGTGCTCAAACTTTCAGCCTCTGTAGATCTTTAAGTGTTTTCATCTTTTTTGCATCAGAAGTTTGTCCTTAGCGTCTCCTCCTCAGACTCCCTGCTCATCTCCGTGGCCGGCATGGCTATCTACACCGGCTACGTCTTCATGCCGCAGCACATCATGGCCATCCTGCACTACTTCGAGGTCGTCCAGTGACACCATGACGCCGCTCGTCTGTCCACAGGTCTCGTCGGTCTCTGGCTTCTGGTCCGTTCACCCACCTGTCCGTCTGCTGTTTCTGGGGCTCCAGGTGGGGGTCGTGTAGAGGCAGAACTTCTCTCCTCTTCCTCCTCCTCTTTTCATCCGAAGATGATTCCATACCAAAGGTCACACTGCGAGCGCCGTGCTGGAGTTTCACAGTGGACGATGTTCTCCCCAGGACTGTTTGTCTATCACTGAAATGTTTGGGATTGTGAAGGACGTTCATCGTGGAGGTGAAGCCTTAAAAGAGGGCGTGCTTGATTGTATTCCACATGTAACTTTTTTTATTTTTATCTCCGTAAATCAAGCACACTATGCTATTTTTGAAAAAGTGTAAATTATATGGATGTCTGGTTGTTGTTGTTTTTAGTCCATGGAGCTATGAAACCGTTGTTGTCTTAGAGATTTATTCAGGTATGAGCCAAATAAGATTAGACGAAGCCTGACGAGAGAAGCTTTCAGCATTTTTCTTTTCTTTTTATTTTACATCTTTTTTTAACGTACACATATCATGCAATGCAAACGTCAGCCACGGCAGAGAGGACTTATTTGCAGTTTAAGAATCGACAGTGCTTACACCTAGGATGCAGCTAGAGCAGGAACAACACATCGTTCAGGATCAGAGTAATCCAGCGCACACAGATTCATGTCAACTTTAATGCAGAGAAAACACTGGAGTGATCAAAGTGTTTCACTTTGTGGTGTCCTCTCCTCAGGTTCTCTTCTTCTCTTCCAGCATTAAAGAGAAAATGTCTGCATCTGCATTAAACTTCATGTGGATCTGAACAAGCCCGGTGTGTGCTGGATCACGCTGATCCTGATCCTTGTCATGGTTTGCAGCTCTAAAGCACTCACACCTCCACATGTCCTGATGCACATCAGCATCTTACAGCACATTAAATAAGTAAATAAGTTTTACTGTAAAAAGCATTCCTGAAGTATCCGAGTGATCGTATCTGTGGTAAACTCCAGTGAAGCATAACGTAGCTTTAATCACGGCTTCAAACCGTAACACACAGCTTTCCTCATCAAGCAGAACATGCAGCTCAATACTAAACAAATCCACCTACCTGTTTGCAAAGCAGTCTTTGTTTTGTTTCTGCAGAGACGATTAAAGATGGTTAAAGTCTGCAGACTGAAGCTCTGCTCCTCCTCTTCTCGTCTCCAATCACACCTGAGATCTAGCTCTCTGTGACTGTTGGTAAATGTAAATTAAATCCTGAAAAAACACTCCA